GTTGTGGGCGTGCGGGCGGAGGGCATGGCGAAGCGGGAGAGGAGGGATTGCGCGTAGCTTGCTGCGGTGGTGGAGCCCTGGGTCGCTTGTGGCTCCGAGCTTGTTGGTTGTAGGCCGAAAGCGCGCTCGCGGACCAGGTCGACCAACCTCTTCAGGTAGCCGAGCCCGGCTCTACTGCCCTTGTCGTGGAGGTCGCCGATGAAGAGCTCGATCTGGCGTTCATGGTTGGCGATGAAGGGCTCGACGTAGTGGGTGTAGAGTAGCTTTGCGCCCTGGGTTTGCGGCAGGACCAGGTAGGAGAGCGCCACGAGTCGGATCCAGCTGTAGAAGGGGAGCCAGCCGAGGATGAAGACGGTCCAGGATTCGACGAGGAGGATCAGCGAGAGGATGATCCAGTAGATGAGCCAGGGGGTCAGTTGGGCGGGGTCGGAGGCTCGGAGGGCTTTGTAGGATGCGAAGACGGGGAGGAGGATGGTGATGATGGAGCTGTAGAGATGTTATCAGTCTTACAAACTGGGTCACGACTCATGGGCTGATGTCTTACGCCAGGAAGTCAGCGATGATGCCAAACATGATGGGCTGCGAGTGTGGGCAGTGCTGGACAAAGAATCGGTCTTCAAGACTCTTCCATAGACGGAGACGACCACTTTTATGCACACATCCAGAAGAGGACAGATGTAGTCTACAACCGGCTGAAGTGGTAGTCTTGGAGATGGAAGCCTGCCACCTGTCGCTGTCGCTGTCGCTGTCGCCTGTCGGGTGGTTGATCTCGAGTTGCCTGCTGACGTAAGTGACTTCTGAGCTACTGGTGCTACGGTGCTACTAGTCCTAGTACTAGCAGTATCGATAAGCAGTCTTGCTAACTCCAGGGGGAAAGGCGCTTGGATCGGTAGGTAGTAGGACGCCGCATAAGTAATGTACTAGTTACGTTGTACCCAACAAGCTGACAAGCTGGGGGGGGAGTGCTCCTTCAGCTTGTCACATGGCTCCAACCACAATCCTTTGTCGGAACTGGCTGCTCTGTTCACACAACAAGAACGAGAATTCATCACACCTTGAGCACGGTTTTGCTTCATTTGGACAGTCAAGACACCATTTTTGAACAAACTAGTTCTAGAGCACTGTCTAGAACACTGAGGAGCTCGACTCCCCTTCTACAGGCTGGCTGTCGTCTCCCTTGTTGAATATGTGTATTGCTTTAATCTCGACAGCTCATCCTTCGTATAGCCTCATACTCATCGCTAATCGTGACGAGTTCTTGAATCGTCCTACCGCTCCAGCATCATGGTGGCCTGAACCACATTCGCAAGTTCTGGCTGGTCGAGATCTCCTTCGCTCGGTACATGGAACATGGCTTGGGGTTACCAGGCAAGGTCGGATCGCTGTGTTGACCAATTTTAGAGAAGAGGGTCCGCTACCACAAGGAGCAGTGAGTAGAGGTGCTATCATTCGGGCCTTTTTAACAGACAACCACGAAAGCACCGCGGCTTTCGTGAGGGAGATGGTTGCTTCTGGGGTCAGCCGAGATGCTGGCGGATTTAGTCTTGTCTGTGGAAATCTTGGAGAGCCTTTGGCTGTAATCTCAAACAGAGCAGCGTCGGAAGCCGAAATACCCTGGATCCAGCCGGACGCAGCACAGACTCTGGGTTTGAGCAATGCCGCTTTCGGAGACCGTGGCTGGAAAAAGGTTGCTGATGGCGAAAGTTTGTTAAGAGACGCTGTCAGTCAGAGTGTGGAAAGCGACGATAATGAAGAAGATTTTATAAAGAGGCTTCTCAAGCTACTGGGTACAGACACATTGCCTCGACTTGGAGAGGACGGAGATTTGGAAACGTACATTGCTCAATTGAGGAACACTATTTTCGTACCACCAATCGGGCGGAGGACAGAGTTGCATGCAGATGAAATCGCGGCAGCGGCCAGAAAGGAGAAAGCGACCGTGGTCACGCATAGCGAGCAAGCATTGGGCGTCAGTGGGTTGTATGGAACGCAGAAGCAGAGTATTGTCCTTGTCAACCATTCTGGCAATGTTCGATTCTTCGAGCGAACTCTGCATGACGGTGATGGTAGGCCAATCCCAACTGGACAAGGTGATGCCGACTTCAGCTTCCAAATCGAACGATAGATATACCAGCTGAAACCTGAATGGCTCAAAGCATAATCATTAAGATTCCAGCATCGATAGTTAGGCATTCAGAGCAGGGGTCTAGCCGACCACTCCTTCCTTTGACACGGGAACCGTTCTTTCCATCATTTTGATGATGGAGCTTGACTTGCTCCAAGAATAAAAGCAGAAGATTTCCATGTGTCTACATCAAGTTCCAAACCTTTTTTGACCAGAACGCTGCCGGGAGACGTTCAACATATACCCTATGACTGACCCCCCTCTTGCGTCTACCACCCTCAGGCTTGCCGGTCGTGCAGCTGATCTCTCGTCCGAGCTGTATGCCGTCCAGGAAAGATGCGGTCATACAGGTGCCAACGTCGAGAGCGTCGCTAATGAGATTGCAATGCTTGCGGCAACCCTTTGGCGCCTCCATGAAGCCATGGCGGAAGATCCAGATCGTTATTCCGAATCCTTCAATCAGGATCTTGCAGAGATCACTTCGGAGCTCAAGCTTGTTTTCGAGGAGATTTTCGAGTGCTGTGAGGAGCTGCAAAAGGCTGATCCTATGTCTGGAAATGCTGTCAGCTGGCTGTTCAAGAAGTCCAAAGTTCATCATCTACAGAAACACCTAGAAGCTCTGAAGACAACATTGGCTGTCATGAGGACTGTACTGCACCATGGAAAGGAGTACGGAGCGCAAACGTAAGTCTTGCATCTCCAAGTCGACCTACGGGGCGTGCTCTTTGACTGACAGCCGTTCCAGTTCTTCCGAATCTCACCACCCTACAATGCACGGGGACCGTGCAATAATCGGCACCGTCTTTGCCACAAATCGAAATGCAATCATCGATCTCCATAACCTCGCCAATTCTCCTGAAACCGTCCGTGAGGTAGCAGCCAAGGACTATGGGCACGGAGATGTATCTGCTTTAAGCTCTGAGTGTCCTCCAGTCCCAGATGTTCTTCCAGCAGCTCCTGAAGCCGTTTTGACCCCGCCCAAGGCCACCCCACGCAGAAGCTTCTCCCGCCGCGGTATGCGTCTAGGTGTGCACATGTCCATCCTCGACATGGGCGCTCATTCCGCTCCTGATGCTCTAAAGGACAAATGGATCCAAACCTCTCGATCGCATCATCCGATCAAGCCCATGATGAGCGGAGCAAGATCACCACGCAAGGCAGACGTGCAGTTTCCTTTGGAAGACAGTCTCAGCAAGGCCAATCTGTCACCTGAGAAGCAACCTCCCGGCATACCCAATCATGGTCCTAAGGCAAGTCATGGTTGGATATCTTCACCCACTGCAGGAAAGCTGCACAAAATGATTGATCATCTAGAACTATCACATTCCGCCACGATCTCGAAATTGGTTCCACACTTCCGACGTCGCTCATCCGTCAGTAAGCATCCAACGCAAGCAATGCAGACAGATGACCTCGGGCGCCGCCGCTCTTTAGCGGAATAAGCGGGAGGCTTCCGCAGGCATGGTGACAGGGCAGGATATTGGGAAGTGCTTTAAGCTGTGGTGAGGCAGGTAACATGAGAAACGTGTGGTGGGTGGGATATGTGGAAGCGCCAGGTACAACACAGCATGTTTTCGAAAGACATCAAGTCAGAGCGCTCGAGGAGTTGAAGCAATCAGTTGGAAGGAAGTCTATGGTCTTTTGTCCATCGGAAATATTACAATACCGTACGGGCGAATAGCGTCACCCAATGACATCCCGGACTCCATGATCATGACTGGCGCTCACGAGTTTCATCCAGCTTATTGCCACAGTGTCTTCTTCCATTGCTTGTACTCATGATCTTCTTCGTATCGGGTATCCCAAGCCACAGTATTCATGAATGCCGACCACTGTATCTCGCTTTGCCGATTGAGAAGGGCACGTAGCGGTATTTTATCATGTGCTGAATCTGCCGTCGCACTGTTCACACCATACCAGTCAGCACCTCTGCTTGACGATTGCGTACACCAAGCAGCCACGGAATGACATTCGAACTCACTTGTCAGACTGAACAGTATGAACCAATAAACCACCAACACCGGCCAGAAGACGGGCAGATTGAAGATCTCAAACCAACTCGCCACGAAGCAGCCCATAATCATCCTGGTCGCACTATACCAGAACTTGAACTCCGGTAGCCTCCTAATGAACGGCCGGAACTCCTCATCCTGCTTCGTCGGCAACGCACTCCGATCTCCATCGCCACTCCCGCCGTCTTCGAGCCCCTCGTCCTGCGTGAGTGAAGGGTCGAACTTGGGCTGCAGGAAAGCGAGGAAGAGGTTCAGCAGGTAGATGCCCAGGCAGTAGGCGACGATGTACCAGCCCTGCGCGAAGACGATGCGCAGGAAGAAGGCGATCAGCAGGAGGATGGTGAAGGCCCAGCGGTGGGGGACGTAGGGTGTTGAGGCGTCGAGGTAGGCTTGGTATTTCTGCGACACTGCGTCAGTTCTGTCTCTGTAGTAAAAAGAAAAGGGATCGGTGGCAGGAACTGCATACGCGCATCACACGGTTGGTTTGTGCGCTCATGGCATCAAAGGCCGTGGTCTCCGGTTCTGGAGCGTCCATGTTGGGATGGCCGTTTCGAGAGGTGAGCAGCGCGAGAGAATTTGTACGGACAGCGGACAGCGCACAGTGTTGATAGTATGTGTCCGAATTTCCCAGACTATAGTCACAAACGCCTGTTCACTTGCTGTGTCTGCGATAGAGCCGATCTTCGTGTGCTCAAGGCAGTCAAAGTTGTGAAGGCTGAGGCGTTGAACAAGCCACGATTCACTGTCTTGGGTCTTGAAAAGGCATTAAAAAGTTCCGCTATGCACGCTAAGGAGATTTAAGGTTTGTCTTCTTGCCAAGCAGGAAGGGGTCTCTACGTACTACGTACTAACTAGTACTACTGCGTATTAGTACACACAATCACAGGGATGGATTGCCCTATTCGCCATTGCCATTACCATTGCCATTGCCATTGCCATTGCCATTGCCGAGGTAAGCCCATCTGCTTGAATAGTAGTACTTAGTAGAGCTTCACCTTGGTGGAGGATAGCTTGTGTCCAATCCAACTATTAACACCATAGTTATCCAAATCCACCCATTCACAATGAACACTGTGCGATGTATGAGGAGGCTGTCGATAAAAACAGATCTGGGTTTCCTTTCTTCATCTCTTCCTAGGTTATCACGTGGATATTCTGCTTCCGTGTCGCGTCTTTCATCGTACGAGCATATTATTGTTTCTAATCCCAAACCTGGTGTGGGCTTAGGTATTGACCCCGGGACTCCCGCTGGTTTTAAAGTGCGCTGACTATTCTCAAAGTCACACTAAACAGGCCAAAGGCACTCAATGCATTGTCAAGTCCACTCTTTAGAGAGCTGAACGACGCTTTAACCAGGTTTGAGGAGGACAAGGGCACTGGCGCTATTGTCATAACTGGAAGTGAGAAGGCTTTTGCTGGTTCGTATACTCTGACAAGTATCTTAGTTCGTAACGGTCTGACAATGTACAGCTGGAGCTGATATCAAGGAAATGGCACCGCTGACGTTCTCTGATGCTTATACCAATAACTTCATTGCTCCGTGGTCCTACTTGACCACACTACGAACACCAATCATCGCCGCCGTGTCAGGTTATGCTCTTGGTGGTGGCTGCGAGCTTGCATTGATGTGCGATATGATCTACTGCACGTCCTCAGCCACTTTCGGTCAACCAGAAATCAGATTGGGTATCATTCCAGGCGCAGGCGGTAGCCAGCGTCTGACTGCTGCAGTAGGCAAGAGCAAGGCTATGGAGCTGATCTTGACAGGCCATAATTTCAGTGGAAAAGAAGCAGGTGATTGGGGGGTGGCAGCGCAAGTGTTTGATGGCAGTCATGATGATTGCTTGAATGGCGCCTTAGAAACAGCAACCAAGATTGCTGGCTTTTCAAGAGTTGCTGTCACTGCGGCAAAAGAGGTAGTGAATAAGAGTCAGGATCTGTCTTTGCGGGAAGGGGTTGAATTTGAGCGGAGGGTCTTCCATGGCCTCTTTGGAAGTAAGGATCAGAAAATCGGTAAGCATCATGTGGATTGACTTGAATCACGACCTCTTGGAGCATAAACTAACTGAAGCAAACAGGGATGAATGCCTTTGCGAAGAAAGAAAAAGCTCAATGGACAAACGAATAGAGTAGCCTAGTGTAGTAATAAATGAAGACTCGGTTGTTCTATCAACAAAACCAAGTGTTCAGCCATCAGAGATATGTCATGTTAGATGGTCTGGAACAGTTGATGTAGCTCAACTTGCAAGCTGGAGAAAATGCCAAGCTCGGTCGGTAGAAGCTCGGAACCTTCCCTTCTGGGACAATTTTACCTTTCACCTGGCACTTCGTCCAATGAACCGCTCTATCACTAGATGCGCCGTATCGCCTTCCCTTGCAGCTTGAGTGTCGGGACTGATGTCGTCTATCTTCCGCGCATACGTCGACTCATCAGCAAGCGAGAAGGTCGCAATCTCATCCCGTTCGCCAAGCGAATACTCCATCCCCTCGAGATTCGAGATCTTTCGCATCGACACCCTCAGTGGCAGGCGCAGCATGAAAAGAGCTGTGTCGACTCGGAATCTCTCATTAAATGGCTAGGTGGGAGATTTGCTGCAAAAGAAGCGGCGCGCAAAGCGATGGGAGCCACGACACTGGGTTGGAAAGATGTCCGCGTTGAAGTCAAGGGCTCTGGAGAGCCACAAATCATCTGCGCCATACGAGATATCGAAAACGAGAACATTGAACGTGAAGCGAAACTCTCTCTTTCTCATGACGGTGACTATGTTGTGGCCACCGTACTGGCAGCTGCGACGCCAGAAATATCCACTTCGAGAGCACTACAGGATATCAAAAGCTCATGACATGATGTGAACTCTGATTGGCTCTCAACAAAGCTATGATATGACAAGCAACAGCTGCATTTGAGCGGATTCATTGAAACCAAGCCTCGGAGCGCAAAGCCGGCGAAATGAGTTCCAATATCCTAAATATGCTGCCATTGATGAGCATGTCTACTTTCACCCATGGACCGAGACAGTAGCAACCGTACACCTCGTTTGATGCAACCTAACGGACTCAAGACATCTAATATGGACTATGCTAAATAGTTCGCCTGACGAATGCGCCTGAATACCATTTTGCACGCGGTCGAAATGCGATTTATTAAATGCAGAATGATGAACGTACTTGCCCGCAGATCGATTTTTCTGTATGCTCACCACAATGGGCGGCAATTGCACGCAGGTTCCTGCCACTGATGGAATGGGATTGGTGAAGGAGTCATGCCGCTCTAATGGGGGTGGAACGACATGAGTAGAGGATGAATGTTGGTAGTACCTGGAGGATGAACGCTCACCTCAGCCACCCAGCACTTGCTCTTCTACCCGTCGTCACCCTTCATTAGCTCTTGCTGTCTGACTCTGGTTGGGCCTACTGAAGAATGTAATCACTTGCCAAAGTCTCTTCTCCTAGTTGTGCACAAATTCTCCTTACAAATCTCATCTTTCGTGCATTAGGATTGGGAGCGGATATCCTCACCTACCCAAGTACTATTTTACGTCATCAAGAAGGCAGAGCCACTTTCTATGTACTTTACAATACAGTCAAGGACCACTTGATTGAAAGATAGAATGATGCAAACTCGTGTCGTGGAGCGTAAACATCCCAGGTATGTTGAGTTCCAAAAAGTGATAATCCAAGACAATTTTTCCATAGCTTTTAGAATTAAATCGCTCAACCAGAGTCTGTTTTGAGAAAAGCTGAGGGACAAAGTTGTGGATTATGGACATTGGGATGTTCATCAGCTTAGAACAACGCTCAAGGCTCTCTTCGAACCAACCTTACCGATCAGGGCTCCTGGTGTATAAACGACATCCTGACCATGTCTCTCACAAGCAAGACCAGGCGCTCCAACCCGCCACCTAAGCGCAAGACTTACCATGATCTTTACGGTACCAGCATGGGCGATTGGCTTCCACGGGAAAAAGTAGCCAGCCTCTGTATACAAACAACTCGACACACCCTTGAAACCCATCATCTTCAAGCACTTGAACATTGATTCTTTGCGTGGTAGCTTTTCGTCACCTGGTTCCTGTTGAACGGATAGCCAGACGTAAATATCTGACAAAAGTCCGTCATCTGGCTCCCCTATCTGAAGCTCGACCATCTGCTCCAAGCACAAAGCTCCCTTTTCATTGTCCAGGTGACCCGGCTGGCTTTTCCCCACTAGGTTCCATGGCATTAACGATTGTAGATTCCCTGTGCTCCTCGGTCTCCATCTCCTTCCCTCCTCTGTCTCCCTCTCTGTGGCTGTAAAAATGAAGGAATAATCACCCTTGCCCTCACAAACGGCCAGAAACTCTTCGCAGGCGTTTCCAACGGCGGACAAACTCGGCGGTACCCTCGATATAGCCCCGATCATGGCATAATATCGATCTTCGGGACGTTCCTGTGTTCTCCTGTCCATATTCGCTAGGACTTGCAGGGCAGAACGTTCCTGATACCCGGCAACTTTCCAGTCGGCGATCAGCTCCTGAAATGCATCAAGGCAGGGAAATTGGTAAGATTTTTGGAGGGCATTACCGGGTAGGCGGGAGAGTGTGTAGCCAACGCAGTTTAAAAAATGGTACCAGTCAATGAGACCGTGGCTGCTGTCCTCGTTCGTGGCTGAGCTGTTTCCTGGGGTAATGCAAGTGAAGGATATTGAAGGGCTGTTGACAACTTCTTGATATGTCCAAGCGCGGGACACCCATTCATCGTTCTCCATGGCGTGGATTGCAGCCTCATCAACTCTGTCTGATTTACTCATTTGGTCGATGATGGATCGTGCCGCTGGGGAAAGGACACAAATGACCTCGGCTGCCAGAGAGTATATCCATCCCATGCTTGCCAGAGTGGCTCTTCTACTATCGCCTTGAGTTGGCACGCAGAATGCATCTATCCAGAATCGTGTACATCTTGGTCTGGCGCGCATGGCCGCGGTGAGGGCTGGGACAGTGTTGTCAGATATACTGTGGTGATTGTCCAGGGGACTGGGTACCCGGCCACCACCCCACGCGTACGAAATACATGCAAATTCGGGGACCTCATGGCTTGATACATCAAGTTCTTCTTTGGATATGTGCCAAGTCTGGCCACAGTGGCTTAATGACACGCTATCCAGCGCAGAACTTCTGACAATGAAGTGAAGGTGTAAAGTTTGCGCAACCATGCTGAAAGACGCTTCAGACACAGGCGTGTAACATGGCTTAACCAGACTAGGCTGTGTCAACGGGTGTCAGGTAAGATAGCAATGGGTATTCAAGATAGGTCCGGAGAACTAGGACTGCAGATTAATACAGTACTAGTTAGGAGGCATTACTAGTAATACTACTAGTACTTAGTATACGTACTAGTAGTACGCAAAGTATTGGCATGGTTGGCATGCCTGACGCGCGGCCTAAAAACCGGGTTCTGCTCATTCTGAGAGATAGAAATTGTCAGAATACTTTTCCGAATGTCACAGCATGAATAGCGTACCTGTAGAACTCATCCAAAAATAAAGGAGTTATCAAACCAATCCTTATAAAAGCGGCAAATCCTTCCAGAAGACAAATTGTGTCATATGCAAATAATTTGTCAACGACTTTTGGGGCCCACCAGCTTGCCAAGGCTTTGATGAGGGGTAGCTGTATTACTACTACTGGTAATAGTGGAGCTCCGAGCTCACCCCACTATCAACTGAAAATTGCCCACTTAGGACGCGGAGATGGTGACACGAATATCAATGCATAGGGAGCGTCGGGAAAATCTTCCACATACCTCTTTTCTGGGTGTTGCTCTCCTCTGAGCTGTTCAATTGGCCCTCTCAAAAAGCACGAGAATGCGCAATTCAATGCTTTTGCGAGGTCCATCCTCACTCTTTGAAGATTTACGCTGCTCTGATATGCATCTCCCCGGCGCACGTTAAATGTTCTTACTAGACGTCTAATTCCTCTTTCTTGTTGCTCGAGGCCAAAGCCAGAGCAAGCTTCTCCCTTAACTCGTGCTGCATCTATATATGCAAGATGGCAGCTGCTATTCCTTTCCAACAAGCGCATCATTCGTCATCTGAGCAAGCCTCCCATGATCCTCACCATGACTTGAGGCTGGAACAGAATCACTACATTGGTATCGATGTGGGCACAGGTAGTGCACGTGCCTGTATCATCAACCAGAACGGTGACATTGTGGGTCTCTCTTCGGAGAATATTGGGTTGTGGCAGCCACAGCAGACCTATTATGAGCAGTCAACCACCGACATTTGGAAATGTATTTGTGTCACTGTCCACCGCGCCTTGAGCCAGGCGAAAATCGACCCTTCCACTATACGAGGGATCGGATTCGATGCCACGTGTTCTCTTGCCGTCTTCACCCACGACACTGATGAGCCTGTTTCGGTCACCGAACCTGATTTCCATAAGAGCGGCAACGATCACAATGTCATTTTATGGCTTGACCATCGACCCATGGAGGAAACCACCAAAATAAATGCCACGAAACACAACCTGTTAAGGTACGTTGGAGGTACAATGTCAGTAGAGATGGAGATTCCCAAGGTCTTGTGGTTGAAAAATAATATGCCAAAAGAGCTTTTCGATCGATGCAAGTTCTATGATCTCGCAGATGCTTTGACTCATTTGGCAACTGGAAATGAAAAGCGGAGCTTTTGTAGCGTCGTGTGCAAACAGGGATATGTTCCTGTCGGTGTTGATGGCAGTGTCAAAGGATGGCAGGAGGACTTCTTGAAGGAGATTGGACTGGAGGATTTGACGGAAGATAACTTCAAGCGCCTGGGTGGCGTCGACGGGGTGGTGAGCCATAAGATCGTCAAGGTTGATCTCTCTGCTGACATTGACAGAACGGCGAATACCTTTCCGCTGGCGAACTCACGGGCACATTATCCGAAAAGGCTGCAGCTGAGCTCGGACTAAATGCCGGGATTGCCGTTGGCAGCGGCGTGATAGACGCATACGCAGGCTGGATCGGCACTGTTGGCGCCAATGTTCCTTTGCAAGACCATGAGTTAAGTGCAGATAGGCCCAAGAATGATCAGTCGCAGGCATTTACTCGACTAGCCGCTGTTGCTGGAACCTCTACCTGTCATCTCGTGATGTCACAAGAACCAGTCTTCGTTAATGGTGTCTGGGGCCCATACCGTGACTCGATTATACCAAATTATTGGATGGCTGAAGGTGGTCAGTCAGCGACGGGTGAGCTGCTCAAACATGTGTTGGAGACGCATCCTGCATTCAATCACGCAACATCTATGGCCGCATCCTATAAAACAAACATCTATGACTTCCTGAACGAACACCTACGAGATATGCAGACGAAGGTCAACGCCCCCAGCATCTCATATCTTGGCAGACATTTCTTCTTTTATGGCGATCTATTTGGGAATCGTTCACCTATCGCCGATCCAACCATGAAAGGCTCTGTTGTTGGTCTTTCAAGCGACAAAAGCTTGGATGGCATGGCTCTTTACTATTACGGCGCGATGGAGTTTATTGCTCTACAGACAAAGCAGATCATCCGTACGATGAACGAGGCGGGGCATAAGATTAGTTCGATTTTCATGTCCGGCTCGCAATGTCAGAACGACATCCTCATGTCTTTGATGGCTACCGCTTGTGAGATGCCGGTTTTCATCCCGCGATATGTTCATGCCGCTGTTGTGCATGGTGCAGCCATGCTAGGTGCTAAAGCAGCAAGTGTTGGGAAGGACGGCAAAACAGAAGACTTGTGGAGTATAATGGACAGAATGAGCAAGCCTGGGAAGATGGTCAAGCCGACGGAGATGAAGGGCGTGACTGAGTTGTTGGACGTGAAGTATAAGGTCTTCCTGGAACAAGGTGAGAGGCAGCGAGAGTTCAGGAGGATGGTGGATGAGGTTACCACGGGAATGTAGTACGATATCGATTAGGAATGCATATAAAAATAGATTTGTCAAGGTGACAACCGTCAGTACTGAGTTAGTGCTCTTACAAACATATCCTAGTAATATTGACTTCGATAGTAGCTCAGCAGATTCACTCGAAACCAGCGTCTTCTCTTTCAATGCAGAAAATCACTTAGACTACAAGATGACTAACAATCCTTAAACGATGAACATCCGATTACAATGTCATTAGAGAAGAGGGACACATCAACCACTACCAAAGGACAGCGCTTGTGGGTTTCGAATCACACTCAGTTGATATATCCTTCGTGACTATTAGAACGATTTAAGCCCAACCTCGGTTCATCCAGCTTTGTACGGCGGACTGTTATGCCTGAAGGCCCCTAAAAGAGTCTCCAAGTGAGCTTAATTTCAGAATGGATTTTGAAAATCTGAATTGACCTTAAGCCCGTAACAGCGCGCCGTACTGTCCTTACCTGAAAATGCATTCTAAGCTAAGCTTCGGCATCACCCCAAGTTAATGTTTGCTAGGGAGATCTCCTTGTTTGCTGGCCTATTTTGGGTAACCTCGCTAGAATACTCAAATAATTTTCTTTAAAAGAAAAATAGCCTCTTAATACGCCAGCAGCATCTGGACAGAAGATGACCTCTTCTCCGCGATCGCCGTCTCGTAGGCGTTCGCGCACTCGATCCGGAACCCCTACTGCGGTGAACCGAGAACCATCCCCGTCCAGATCGCATCTATCCTCGCCCACACGTTCTCCTCGTCGTACGATATCATCACGATCGCGCTCCCGCTCGAGAAGCTTGAGTCGAACTCCATTAGCACGGAACGGGTACAGGAATGGGAGAAGAAGTGGTTCTAGGAGTCTGACACGGAGTAGAAGTCCAAGCAGGGCCAGTGGGGATAGAAGGTACCGCGAAAGGAGCTACAATCGAAGCATAAGCAGAGATAGAGCACCCAGGCAGAGCTCAAAGATTGTGGTGGAGAAGCTTACGAAAAATGTCACCGAGGCGCATCTCAGAGAGATATTTGGCTCGTACGGAGAGATTGAGAGTTTGGATATGCCCATGAACAGACAGTGTAAGTATACCATTAAACCTACACCTATGGAGCAGGTTCGCTGATGATAAAACAGTCATGACCAATCGCGGCACAGCTTACATCCTCTACGCTCATCCGTCGGCCTCAGGGTCCGCAATTGCCCACATGCATGAAGGACAGATCGACGGTGCTGTTATTAATGTCAGCATTGTTCTCCCTCGTCGCGCATTCTCGCGTTCTCCTCCGCCCACAAAATCAGGCCGATTACCACCGCCTCTATCGTCCCGAGGGGTTCCGCCCTTACGTGGTCCACCAAGCAACAGATACCGATCACCACCGCCGAGAAGGGGTGGATACGGTAGCCGTGGAGGAAGAGAGGATGATGTTTACGTTCCGCACCATGGTTATTCCCGATCACGCTCGCCGCCACCGAGGAGGCGGCAGCGATCATACAGCTATTCAAGGTCTCCTTCGCGAACACCACCTCGCCGGCGAGGTCCAACAGCCAGGAGCCCCCCCAGAAGGAGAAGACGGAGTCCAAGCTACAGTTCTTATAGTAGTTACAGCCGGAGCAGGAGTAGGAGCAGGACAAGGAGCCGCTCCAGAAGTCGAGGCAGATACGGGCGAAGATAAGACGTTCCCGTGCAGGGGGAGAAGGTGAATCATGGTGTAATAATAGTTCTTTGACTTCCTTACTCCGTAAAGTGACTAGACATGGGTTCTGGGTGGTAGCTTGGTGAAGGTTTCGAGACGAGCGCGCTAAGACCCATGCATGTCTTCCAATAAAGTTGAGCGACCGGAAATGACTGCATTCCAGTAGTGATTTTGTTATTGCCAATTGAAAAACTGCCTGGAGGATATATGTAGACCGAGACTGTCGCGATGCTTCTTGCAGCGTACAAAGGTTGCAGGTAGGTCGGATTCGCCACGCAAAACCCGTGGCCTACTCTATCTTAGTGTGGAGCTTTAATTCCTGTACTACTGTAGGTATGCGTACACACACACTAACTACTAACTAGTATGTGAAGCTTTCAGGACTAAATAAAGTTTGCATCTCGGCTGGGCAGCATCAGGTGCCGGATGAGGGCAAACAACGCTAGCTTAGTTGATGATTTAGTGTTCTCCGTCTATTTTACTTTACTTCTACCCATGAATTTCGCGTAAGATTTAACTACCTAACCCTCACACTGAAGCAATTCATCCTCTCACTCTCTAAGACGCGACCTGTTCGTTCAGATAAGCCTGAATTGTTAGCACCCACTGTGCCGCACAAATCGTAAAGCGTAAGATTTTCCGGAGCGGTACTAACCCCCTCCCCCTTCCCAAGCTGCCAAATAATTAACAAGTTCATCCCACTAGTTAGTCTGGCGTCTTTCCACTAATCATTTACAAGCAGAGATTCGACCATGGATGATGAGCACAACCTCAACGAAGATGCGACAATCAATACCGATAATGCTGCAGGGTCGCAGCCAGATGAAAAGGATGAAAAAGATGATGATGATGATGCACACATGGACACAAACCTTGACTCACCTGCCGCTGACAACCCATTCACAACAGCCGGCGCAAGCACCCAACCCCAACCGCCCTCAACCCCCATAACCATCCCCCAGGGTCAGAGTATCTTCGCCAATCCTCCATCTCTGGGCCTTATGAGGGAACGACTGTTTGAGATCAACGACACCATTGAGTTCTCAGCACAAGACTTTGAAAGATACTGGCCATTCATCGACAATGTCTGGATCAGAAATCGTGCTGCCTCAACATCCAAGGAGACCAATTCCGTGACTGAGTGGTATCAATGCAGATTACGAAAAGCCAACGACAGGACACCTTACGTGCCCAGGCCCACTCCCGAGGGCAAGGTTGGGCGGAAGAAGAGAGTAAGAGAGAATGTGTCATGTGAGATGACCCTTAGAGTTGTCCGAATAGAAGGAGCGACTACAAGCTATAGGATTCTGCGCGGTGGTGCCAAAGATGTCAAACATAGTCATGATCTGGATTATGTCGATGGGGTTAAGCGCAACTCTGGGATCATGGACACCGCACGAAGAGAAGGCATCAAAGGCTATCAACCATCATCAACTTTCCATCGCATGTGGGCAGAGCCCGAAAAGATGCTGGAGGCAGGAGGAAAGTTCTTGAAGATATCCGACTGCAGAAATGTCACCATGACTTGGCGCAATGAGAACCCAACTGTTGTGTTGAAGGTCCATGACGGCTTTGCCTCGAGGGTATCAACCGGTCCAAAACCACGAAACCCTACGACCCCTACCACAATTGCTCATGGTACTGCTTATCAATCAATGACACCGACCAAGGCGGGTCTTCCAACACCTGTACTTCCTCAGGACACACTCCAATACCCGGCGCATGCTCGAGATTTTCTTGAGCCATATCTTCCTCCACAGACGAACACCACTTCTACAGCCCCTCATGTTACTCTGACTTATGCCTCCAGTCTTGACTCCCGGATCGCCCTTGCGCCAGGTCTTCGCACAGCCTTGTCGGGTCCAGAGGCGAAAGCCATGACACACTATTTGCGCTACCGCCATGATGCCATTCTTGTTGGTGTTCGAACCGCTCTCATAGATAACCCAGCTTTAAACTGTCGCCTGGAAGGAGCAGGTGGTTATGGCGGAAAGGCGGGTGCAAATCAACCACGGCCCATTATCGTGGATCCCCATGCTCGACTGGTCATCCATCCAGACATGAGAATGCTACAGATGGTCAAGCAGGGCAAAGCCAAGGGTCCTTGGATCATCATTGCGTCAAACACCTCACCTCATCCAGTTGCTGTCCGTATTCTAAAGGCGCATCACGGTGAATATATCAAAGTTCATTATGGGTACCATCCAGGTGAACCGGCGGGTTTCGACTGGCCAAGCATTTTTGGCATTCTCCACAATGAGGGCATCAAGAGCGTCATGGTCGAGGGTGGTGGATGTGTTCTTAGCGAGCTGTTGAGAGGTCAACATTCAAGTCTGATCAGTTCACTCATTGTCACTGTCGCGCCCACGTTCTTAGGCAAAGGGGGTGTGCCGGTTTCTCCTGATCCCCGATTCGATACACAAGGTCAACCAATGGCTACAAGGCTGAGGGACGTCAAGTGGCAGGCGATGGGTCAGGACGATGTCATCATGTGTGGAAAGATTGGAGGGGTGCAACCACCTGCGGCTAATGGCAATGGGCTGCTCGATGGTATTGAAGAATTCTCGCAGCAAGCTGTTGCCAATGGTCCGGCGGCGGCGGCGGCGGAGCAGGCGGGCGCATCGAATGCTTCGGCTCCATAATTTTCACCAAAGCGACATAAAAGATGGGGACAGATTGAACAAGATCTGAGGCAGAATCAGGAGTACACAATTGCATTTACGCGTGAAGAAAGGCGCAGAAATCGAGGCATGGAGGCAGAGCTACAACACATGGAGAGAGCTTAGGACGCGTTTGCATTCGACATACGATCTCGGAGTCAACTGCATGATTTTCATGTGCCATGATACCCCCTGGACAAGGCACTGGTGGTGGGTGGGGACTTTGCTGATGCTACAACTTTCTCCGGAAAGCTAAAAAGTAGCGAATTCTTTAGCTATCGCAATGATATTACCGTTGAAAACACATCTCTAAAATGGAGCGCTTTTTTCTCATTTCCTCATTCTTCTTCAAAAAGACCACCCACTCTAACTGGAGCTAACATGTCCAGGGCGCACACGCAGAGCAGATCGGGACACTTGCGCGAGGTTTTATTACTCCCCCGTCATACATGCGAGGAAGGCATAAGCAAAGTGGTGCTTTTATGGATTTCTGCTACCACAGCGTCTCTATGTACTGCCAGCCCCAGCTTGTATGTGCTAGCACACCATTCCGATCAGGCTCCCTCTTCAAAAAGGGGGGAACCGTAACTCTTAAGTATCTGCGTCTTTTTGGTGCAGTAAAAAGCTGCATTGACACTCTCTCCCTCCGCGCCCCGGGCGAGCGACTCAGTCCTGATACAGAGTACAGCCGACGCATATGCATAAACGACGAACGACGAGCGACGAGCGACGAGCGACGACGACAACGACAACGGCGATGACGCTGCCTTGCCCAAGTAGACCTGCCACCCGATGCATGCAACCAAAACCCAAACGCCAAGAACCTCGATCATATACACGTTTAGCCCGAAACTCCCATGTCCAAGCTTCTCCTTCTCCCTGCACTACCCTGTACTGTACGTGACTTTTCATCTCAGTGCGCCACACCATTCATGAGCGGCGCGGCCTCGCCAGCCAGGACGCTAAACTGACCTCCAGCACCGGCCCAGATGATCTTCTTGTCCGCGATCGCCTTGCCGTTCATCACTCTAGCCTCTTCGATATCGTCATCTGTGCCCTGACCGGTACGGTATCCATCGCTGAAGCCCCAGCTGTATGCCTTTCCCGCACTCGTCACGGCGATGGAATAATCTGTCCCCGCTGCCGCCTGGACTGCATCGATGCCGGGGACTTGGGTCGGCATGGTGAGGATCTTCGGGTTGTTCCTCGAGTCTCGGATCACGTCGCCGTCGGGCAGGGTGTTAAGTTTGATTCCGACCTGGTATCCATCGACTCTGCCCCAGGTGAGGCATTTCTCGTCCTCGGTAACGGCGATGCTGTGGAACTGGCCTCCATCAATGCATACGACATTTCCTTTATCCTGGAGACTGGTGACGATGGTAGGGTGGAGGATCACGGCTTCGTCACCGCCGGCGCCCTCGGCGATGCCGGTTTGGCCGTAGTTGTTTAAGCCCCAGGTATAGACTTTGCCGTTTTTGTGGATGGCAAAGGAGTGGGTGTCGCCGGCTGCAATGTCGATCATGGCTTTGGGGAGGCCGAACTCACGCGGGACGAGCCCGTTGAGTTTGGAGCGTTGGACGATCCGTCGACCGAGTTGATGTTGTTGGCCAGCGCCCCAGGCGAAGACGGCTCCATTGCTGCAGAGAGCAAGGACATGGTTGGCTCCTGCAGCCAGCTTTGTGACCTTCTTCAACCCTGAGACTAGAACGGGTCGTCGTTGGATTTGGGTTGATGTAGAAAAGCCTAAAATCCCATCGTTGCCCTGATAGGAAATTGTCAGCCATTGTCAAGATCAGTACCACGAAGGGGAGCTTACCCTAAATGTTCCCCAGCCATATACTTGTCCCTCGTCCGTGAGGGCAAATGTGGTACTGTCACCTGCTGTGACTTGGGTGAAGACCGTTCCTTCTGGGAGATCGGTAAACTCCACTGGTGCAGGAGTTGCCTCCCGAGGATTTAACTCCACATCATCGCTACTGTCATCACTCTTGTTATCGTCAACATCTACTAAGCCACCATCCCATTGCGTATCTCGTCCAAGAGCACCTTCATCGTTGACACCCCAGGTAAGAATCTTGTTGTCGTAAGTCAAAGCAGCACAATGCATGCCTCCTGCCGCCAGCTGCACGACTCCGACATCAGCAGCTGACAGGTTTGGATTTAGACGTGGTTTAAGTGCATTCGTAGAACCACTGCCAGCCCCGAGACCTAATTCACCTTGACTGCCTTCGCCGCTGACGTAGATATCGAGGCGTTGCGTAGGAGCATGATTGATGACGACTTTAGGTTTGACCACCTTAGGTTTTTTTGCGGCCGTAGCAGGACGTTTAGATACTGATGCTTTAGACTCGGCCTCGTCCGCCTTGCGTCGCTTACTGCTATTAGCCTTTGGCTCTTCATCATTTTCAACGTCTTCTTCGGCTTTGCGCTTTTTAGAGGCAGCTGCCTTTTCAGCAGGTGGTGATACTGTTGGAGCTTTCACTGTTGTTACTGCTGTCTTCTTTGGAGCATGCTTGATGACGGGCGCTTTGTTGATGGTGTCCTTGCTGTTGGCGGTGGTGGATTTCTTTGTTGAAGTTGCCTTCTTTGCAGCGGGTTTTGCGACAGCTTTCTTGACGCCATCAGACTGCTTGCCAGCAGCAGTCTTCTTTGCAGCGGTCGTGGTTTGTTTTGCGGTCTTGGGGGCGGCTGCGGTGGCTTTTCTCGGAGCCATTATAATGTGAGAGGGTAGGTGAATCTAGAGTGTAGAGATTGCCTGGTGGCTGAAGAGACGAGATTAAAACTTGGAATGTAGACTGTAGTCCAAGGCTAGGATTGGATCGTGGATCTGAAGAAGGCGGTTTGGAAGGTTGGTGAGTTGAATGTGGGTTGCAGAAGGTGGAAAGGCAGTTCCAATACCTCTCAATTTGGCGCACACGAGAGCTATTTATTGTGGGTGGGTAGCTATTGTCATAATGAAGTGTTTTGGTGTCGCATCTGTTCCCTAATCACTGCTTGTCAAACCAGAAAAAAAGTTGGGCTTTGGGTGTCGGATGTTTTGGTCGAGGACACGCTAATGATTTTAAAAGCCACTAGCTCCAGAGCTTAAGCCTAGAATATTTATAGTGACTCCTGGTAGTATGGCTTGCTGACTGATGATTACAGAGGAGACTCGACAAGTTGAGATGCCTACTTCTAGTACGTACTACGTAGTAAGCTAACTTAGGAGCCTCTGCCTTGTAGTGTATGCTCTGGATTGTTTCTGTCTTGGTTGGAGCATGAGCATGACTCAAATGCGTTTAATCGGAAAATGCTCATACCCTCATTTATTTCAGCTCACCCTTCCTATTATACACAATGCACTGGGGTGATTCATCTTTACAGAAAAGCCTCTAAGCTGCAAACTATCCATCGCATGCGGCGTGCTGGATTCAGCTGCAAGCGCGGAGTGGAGTGCCACAATATCATCCCCGAATCCGGGTGTCTTGCACAAAGAGCCACATTGGGGAGCCTCGGATAGTATTATCGTGGGGATTTCGAATGCCAGTACCAGACGTTGGAGTCATTTCTATCGCTTCAAGACCACCGGCTCACCAGAAAGTCAAGAGAAAAGCATGCTCACTGGTTGGCCATGAGGAATCCTGAGAGACGCCTATTGGAGAAGTGAAGCCAGGCCAGGCGTTCTTGTAGACTGACACAGCTCCCCCTCACCGTCAGTTGTGGTCTGAACCAGGTCTGCCCCACCACTCAGCCTCAGGTCCTTTTTCTGCACGTAAATTTGAATCCATCTCTCCTAGACTCTTGTAACTGTGGACGAATATGATCTCACTGACCATGATGGATCGAGGTCCACAGACGACGGCAAGACCGGCGACCGCTGCGCAGTGCGCATGGAGTAGTAACGAGGTGGAGCTTCAGCCACGACACCCTCCACCCTCAATGCGGAGCAGCCTCGGACCGATAATCAAGATTGGTGTTCCGGTCCGTACACACCACAAAGGCACAATCAATTCAAACACAGAAACATGCTTGCTTGCTTGACTTTTATCTGGAAACCGTAGCTCAACTTAGTTGGCAGGTTCCTTGATGTCTGCCGTTCACTTATTTCAACACTCATCATTCTCAACATGATGGCCTGTTGCAGGCGTATCATTGCCCCCGTCCTACAAGCCGCCAGCACCCCTGGTACACGAATTAACTCGCATACGCCTGGTCAACGATGTCTTTGGGCATTTCATGTGCAGCGCAGATGGGCTCATGAACCTACTGTTAGCTTACAGGAATTTCTGGACCCGTTGAACACATTTTATCAACGCCATGTCGGACCTTCCGAAGATGATGCGACGAATATGCTCCAGTCCCTTGATCCTCCAGCGGGGTCGCTTGATGATTTCATTTCGCAAACTATTCCTCAAGATATTAGGCTCAGGCAGCCTCTATCGTTGCCAATATACAAGATAAACGCTTATGATGGGAAGACGGGTGGTGTCGCCGAGAGTGAGGTAGTTCAGCAGACCCTAGCCCGTCTCGGGCAGAATAAGCAAATCAGGTCATACATTGGAGCGGGCTACTATGGAACCTTTCTACCGGAGGTCATCAAGCGGAACGTTCTTGAGAGCCCTGCATGGTACACAAGTTACACACCATATCAAGCTGAAGTCAGCCAGGGACGATTGGAATCTCTGCTGAATTTCCAAACCATGGTCACTGACCTGACAGCATTGCCGATTGCAAACGCGTCAGTGCTGGATGAAGCTACTGCGGCAGCAGAAGCCATGACGCTCTCAATGAACGCTTTACCTACGGCCAGGCAGAAACGTGGAGGTAAAACCTTTGTCGTATCTCATCTCTGCCACCCGCAAACAATTGCCGTGCTTGAATCACGATCTGAAGGATTTGGCATCAAGATTCGAGTTGGTGACGTCTTTTCCGAGGACCATAAACTGGTCAGAGATCAAGGAGATGACCTAATTGGAGTCCTAGCTCAATACCCGGATACCGAGGGAGGCGTGCACCCACTGCAGAGCTTGGTAGAAGCTACTCATAACCTTGGAGCAACGCTTAGTGTTGCAACAGACTTGCTTGCTCTGACGGTTCTGAAACCTCCTGGCGAATTTGGAGCCGACATTGCCTTTGGGAGTGCTCAGCGATTTGGCGTTCCTATGGGCTATGGTGGACCGCATGCTGCATTCTTCGCCTGCAGCGACAAATTCAAGCGCAAAATTCCAGGCCGGCTCGTTGGTGTCTCCAAAGATCGATTAGGAAATCGAGCGCTTCGTCTGGCGCTACAGACTCGAGAGCAACACATCCGAAGAGAAAAGGCTACGAGCAATATTTGTACCGCCCAAGCCCTACTTGCTAACATGAGCGCGTTCTACGCAGTCTACCATGGTCCACATGGTCTCAGGGCCATTGCCGAGAAAATCAGGACCAACACACGATTTGTTCAGAACCACATGGAGAAGAATGGCTGGGAAGTCCTTACTAAAGGTACGAGGGAGGATGGTGCTGTACTCTTCGATACAATAGTGGTCAAAGGAACCAAGGAGCAGGTGGCCTGGGCAACCAAGAATCAGGGTGAGGATAGCGTAAACCTTCGTATATTTACTCCCACAAAGCTTGGAATATCGTTAGATGAGACAGTGATATCCCGGAAAGACATTCGTGCCATCTGTCGGTTGTTTGGCGGGCCCTCGAAAAAGGCAGAGCACCCCTTAGATCACAAAAGCTGGGTGCGCTCGAAGCTCGATGATACGGAAGGCTGTTCAGTCAAAGACCGAACACTGCCATGCAATGTCAAAAGGACATCGTCATATCTGACGCATCCCGTGTTCAACACTTATCGTTCCGAGACGGAGATGTTGCGTTACATCCACCACTTGCAATCCAAGGATTTGTCCTTAGTACACTCTATGATCCCACTCGGCTCTTGCACAATGAAGCTGAATGGCACTGCGGAGATGCTGGCACTGTCGCGGGACGAAGCATCTACAATGCACCCTTTTGCACCCGTTCAGCAGACTTCTGGTTACCGATCCATTATTTTGGGTCTCTCTCAGCAGCTCAGCAAGATCACTGGCATGGAAGCTGTCAGTTTACAGCCCAACTCTGGTGCCCAAGGCGAGTTCACAGGCCTTCGGGTGATTAAAAAATACCTAGACGCTCTAAATGATGGCAAGACAAGGACAATCTGCCTGATCCCTGTCTCTGCTCATGGAACAAACCCTGCCAGTGCTGCCATGGCAGGAATGAAAGTGGTCCCCTTGAAATGTGATGCCAAAACTGGCAATCTGGACATTGAGGATTTGAAAGACAAGTGTGGGCAACACAAGGATGAACTCGCTGCTATCATGATCACCTATCCATCTACCTTTGGAGTGTTTGAACCGGAAATCAAGAAAGTCTGCTCTATCATTCATGAGCATGGAGGTCAAGTCTACATGGACGGCGCCAACTTAAATGCGCAAATGGGCCTCTGCAATCCGGGAGACATAGGTGCAGATGTGTGCCACCTTAACCTCCACAAGACCTTTTGTATTCCTCACGGTGGGGGAGGGCCTGGGGTAGGACCTATTGCAGTGAAGTCGCACCTAGCCAAGCATCTCCCCTCTCATCCATTCGTGGATCCACACGCAACCTCACTTGGCGAGTACTACGAAAACGATTCCCCACGCAAGGACCAGGGCCTCTTTCTGCCGAGCTACAACGACGAACCATCTGTCCTTAATGAAGCTGGGCGAGCCAAGGCCAAAGAGCGCGACCCTGCACGTGCTTTGGCAATCTCTCCAGTCAGCGCAACCCCTTGGGGCTCTGCATCTATCCTTCCCATCAGCTACACCTACAACCACCTGATGGGTAGCCGGGGCCTCACCAAAGCCACCAAAATTACGCTCCTTAATGCTAATTATATCATGTCACGCCTGAAAGCGCACTATCCGATCCTCTACACGAACGCTCAAGGCCGCTGCGCCCACGAATTTATCCTTGATGCGCGTAGATTCAAGGATTCCGCCGGCATCGAAGCAATCGACATCGCCAAACGCCTCCAAGACTATGGATTCCACGCTCCAACAATGAGTTGGCCAGTTACAGGCACATTGATGATCGAGCCAACCGAGTCGGAGTCGAAAGCCGAGCTCGACCGTTTCTGCGATGCATTGATCAACATTCGTAAAGAGATCGAAGCCGTTGAAAATGGTGAGAAACCACGCGAGGGAAATGTGTTGAAGATGGCGCCCCACAACCAAGCAGACTTGATGAGAAGTGAGTGGGACCGGTGCTACACGAGAGAGGAGGCGGCCTATCCCTTGCCGTGGTTGAGGGAGAAGAAGTTTTGGCCGAGTGTGTGTAGGGTGGACGACGGTGGGTTTTTTCCGTGCCTCGTTAAGAAACCTATTGCTGACGCAGACATGTAGCTTATGGCGATACGAACCTTTTCTGCACTTGCACTCCGGTCGAGGGCATGGATGATGCCTCCGATATCAACAAAGCGGAGTTCGGTACCGCAACCTAAACTTGCTTCACCATTGTGTTTACCCTCTGGGACCATGCTGTCGACAGGGACTTTGTCATCTCAGCTTCTCCATTGGACCGCGCACTTCTCACCCCTTCCGATCCAACTCAACATGCATTTCTCTTGGCTTGTTTCAACACTCATACTGTCTAGCATGGCCGGGCATAGGATACAGAGGCCAAGGTGCAATCTTCATCTTCAACACTGCATCAGCGGCTCGCATAGACTAGACTAGACACGGGGGCGGGGGGATATGGCGTTTCAACAGACACTGAGAAAAGGGGGAAAGTTGGGAATCAGGATTGAAGCTACTTTCAAACAGTACAAAGAGATGAGCGGAAGCACAACATATTTGAACTCTTTTTGCACGGTATTTATTCCTTTGGCAAAGCAAAGCATTGAGATGCAGCTTACATAGTCGTCGGCCAAGATCTTCTTCAATTACTATCTCTGTACATTATTCGCCAAATGAAACATTTTCAATCCCGACTCCGGGTCCTGCCACAGTCGGTATCAGCAACCGCGTTTCGGCGGGCCGGAGCCGGTCAATCACTAGCAGCACTCCTCCTCTTACTCCTCTCCTGCCTCTTTGACAATATCAGACAAGCTCCTCCTCTCCACCCTCCTCTTCCCCCCTCTCACATCACCAACCTCCATCTTCTCACTCCCATCCCAGAGATAAGCCGTCATATCCCTCCCCCTCCCCTTTCCATACCTATCCGCATCCACAGTCTTCAAATACCTCATCCCCAACCGATCATTCCAGACGCGAATGTACAGCCTCTCCTTCCCTCGCGCCAGAGCACCTTCGTAAGGATCTAGTGGCGCCCACCTCTCTTCCTCTATGCTTGTCCCAGCGCCAGCCTCATGCCTCTTCTCAATCCCCATCATACCGGCGATCGGATCCTCCTCCTCTTCTCTCTTCCCGCGTCGCTCGACAGCGGCTGCGGCGGTGGCGGTGCAGTGCGAGGCGATGAACTCGACGAGATCGATGGTCAATACCCTCCGCACTAGGATTTCGACTTCGCCAAGATTGCAGAGGCTGGGGAGGGTGAGGGGTGTAGAGGAGGGAGAGGAGGGGTGGGTTAGGGTTTGGGGCGAGAAGGAGTATTCTGTCCCGAGGAGGGGGGGGTTGAGGTTGGTGGAGATGGTCAGGTTAAGGGAGTGGTTGGGGGTGGGGAGGTGGAGGGTTAGAGTTGTGGTGAGAGGGCGGGTGAGGGTTTGCAGCATGGCGTTGGGCGTGAGGGTGGTGCTGCTAGGGGAGGAGGAGGAGGAGGAGGAGGAGGAGGAGACTAGCATGAGGGTGTCAAGAGGGGAGGTGGTGGATTGAAGATCACATCGCGTTCCTGCTGATTTGAGGGGTTGGGTGATGGTTTGAAGGAAAATGGTCAAGGATTTTACGTGGTTTCGATGTTGTAGGTGGGCAATGATTGGTCGGAGGAGAGCGTATTCTGGGATTGGTCGCGATTTGAGGGTCATGGGCGGCGGTGGTTGGGAGCGTCGCTGCAGGTTTTGTTCATGTGCGTGCGAGAGGAGGATTCGCAGGGTAATGGCGATGCCGTCTGCTAATTGCTGGTCTGGACCGACAGCAGTATTGCTGGAGCTGTGATGGTCCGAGTTGATGAGGTCGATTTGGAGTTGAGTTTGTTCGTCTACTGGCATTTTGATCTGTTTCGATGACATGGTGGCACCCTGATTTGCGAGCGAGCGAGCTTCGCGGCCAAGTTCAAAGAATAATTCCTCTTCGTACAGGGTATCGCGAGCTTGCAGGATTTGTTCGTCAATTGCTTCCTTGGTAGCCATGTGAGAGCGGGAGATGGCTGAGGAGCCACAATTCCTATCGTTCCGTAAGACCGACATTTGAACCGCCACCGGTCGAGATGGTACAGCGCCCTGGTCGAGTCGCAAGCCGCCATCGGCATCCCTTCTCAACGCAGCAAAGCCACGGTTGCGGAAAAACGGTGCGGCATCTCGAAAACCGAAATGTACGCCCAGGGTCCGAGGATCTCGCGGGACCTTACTGATGGCCCAACCCTTCCGCTTGATGGAAAGAATCTGGTCCCAGTACTGCTGCTCTTTGGCCGCTTCATCCTCAAGCCTGGAAGCTGCTCCCAGGATTTTATCCGCCACATCACTAAAACCTTGCAGCTTGTAGGCTCGAGATACAAGCTCTGCTGATCTCGAGTCAGAAGCAGTAGGAGCTGTGTATTTCATAATTCGTGCGTCTAGTGTCCCAATGGGCACTGCGTCCTGCAGAGTGGGAGACATTGTGGACTTTGCGGTGTTGGGTGCAACTTTAGACAGAAGAAGTGAGATGAAGTCCAGGGACATCAACGTGTCGTTCTGCGCCCGTCTGAAAACTATCAGATTGGTAGGCGCAAAAAGTACATGTTGACCTACCTTAGCTGCTGCATCATCTCTTCACGTCTCTTGATGATCATTTCATATTGGTTTTCTGGTTGTTCTGCTTCCGAATCCTCGACTCCCGCCATGCGGGTGTCTTCTCCATCTTGCCGCTTTCCGGATCTGATGTCTTCTCTTAGCGAAGCTTCCGTGATATTCCGAAACGCTCCTTTTTGAGAATTTATTTGGAAGATACGAGACTGGAGTGAGTCATCATCCTTTCCTTTCGAAACTGAAAGGCGTAGTGGCAGTTTCAATGATGCTGTCATGTTAGAGGTCCTTGCTTTGGGACGATAGGGGAGAGGATTCTGTCGTGGAAAGTTGCTAAACGTCTTCAGCTAGGATGGCAGAATGGGAGGGCGCTGTTGAGGCTCGCATCGGACGCTCAGGACAACAACGACTGAGAGCAGGTCTTCACTTAATTCCTTCTTCCCAAGACTTTCGAGTGGGCTGGCCAGAGATTGTGCATAGAAGGATGGCTAAGCAATGCCAAGAATCGAGACACGCGGAACAGCGTTAAGTTAGTAGGGGGCGGAAGCGGAACGAGGCGCACACATAAGGGTGGGAATAGCTACTACGTACGTAATAAGCTTGACAGCGATGACGTTAAGGGAAGCAGACCCCGAAACGATGGTTGGAGGTTTCCCAAAGTCCTTATCAACGCCTACAAGGCCAACCAATAATTTGGAGCTTGCAAGGAGGGGCTACCCAGCCAGACAGCTGCCAGGGACAGCTCCGGCCCCGCGCTAATTAAGCAGCCGGAGTTGGAGTTGCTCAGCCTGCCGACTGCTTCCCCGATACATCATCGATACTTATCCATGCCAACAATTCATCACCCTTACATCGAAGTCCGCCCAACACCTCCGTTGCCGCTTCGAGAGTACTTCATAGTATACTTCAGAAACCTCATTCTCTTCTAACCTGCGTTTCACTTGTTCCTATTTGTCCTCTCTTCATCTGCATTTTCCTCAGCTCTTCTTCACAGGTGAGCCTTCTAAAGCTCTTGTTATTGTGAAGAACTTCGTACTGATACCTGATTGGTAGCTTTTCAGCATCGGGTTGTCTAATTACAGCTTCCCTACCACTCAACCCTCCCTAGACAATTCCACCCCTACCAAGTCTCTCTTTCGGACTACTCCTTAGCCAAGATGGCTCCGACAAATGGAGCGCCCCCACCACCAAAGAAGCGCCGTATTGGTGTCATGACCAGCGGCGGTGATGCGCCTGGCATGAACGGTGCTGTCCGCGCTGTAGTGCGCACGTCCATTCACATGGGCTGTGAGGCATATGCAATCTACGAAGGATATGAAGGTCTCGTTCAGGGCGGTGACCTGATCAAACAGATGTTGTGGGACGATGTTCGAGGCTATCTTTCAAGAGGCGGCACCCTCATTGGAACAGCTAGATGTATGGCGTTCATGGAACGCGCGGGTCGGCTCAAAGCTGCAAAGAACATGATTCTCAATGGTATAGACGCTCTGGTCATCTGCGGAGGTGATGGCAGCTTGACAGGCGCCGATCTGTTCAGAGACGAGTGGCCAGGTCTTCTGGAAGAGCTTGTCAGCAATGGCGAGCTCAAAGCCGACGACATCCAGCCATACCAGCACCTCAACATTGTCGGCCTTGTAGGATCGATTGACAATGACATGTCCGGCACGGATGCCACCATTGGTTGCTATTCTTCCCTCGAACGAATCTGTCATGCTGTGGATGACGTGTTCGACACCGCTGCCTCGCATCAGAGAGGATTCGTGATTGAGGTCATGGGCCGCCATTGTGGTTGGCTTGCTTTGATGGCCTCCATTGCCACCGGTGCTGATTTCGTCTTCATTCCCGAGAAGCCTCCTCGAGCAGGATGGGAAGATCAGATGTGTGGCATTGTGAGAACGCATCGTCAGCGAGGCAAAAGGAGGACCATCATCATCATTGCCGAGGGTGCCCACGACGTGAATCTGACCAAAATCACACCGAACCAGGTTAAGGATCTTCTAACCCAGCGACTCCGGCTTGACACGCGAGTGACAATTTTGGGTCACACCCAGCGGGGCGGTCAGGCTTGTTTTTATGATCGCTGGCTTAGCACCCTGCAAGGTGTGGAGGCTGTCAATGCCGTCCTCGAGGCTACACCAGAGACCGCTACCCCTGTTATTACGATTCGAGAGAATAAAATTGAGCGAAGTGATCTCATGGAGGCGGTGCGGTTGACCAAGTCGGTGTCCAAAGCAATTGAACGGAAAGACTTTGACAAGGCCATGGAGCTACGGGATGCAGAGTTCAAGGAATACTACAACAGCTACATGATCACCACTTCCACCGATCACCCGCGTCTTCGGTTGCCGCCTGAAAAGCAACTCAGAATTGCCATCATCCATGTCGGTGCTCCCGCTGGCGGTATGAACCCTGCCACACGTGCAGCTGTTGCCTACTGTCTCACCAGAGGTCATACACCCATTTCCATCCACAATGGCTTTCCCGGTCTCCAACGGCATCATGATGACAAACCACTAGGGGCTGTCCGCGAGGTCAAATGGATAGATGTCGATCCGTGGGTTAATGAGGGCGGATCGGAAATTGGCACCAATCGTGGTTTGCCAAGTGGTGACCTCAAGAAGACTGCCGAATGCTTTGAGTTATACAAGTTCGATGCTCTTTTCGTCATAGGAGGCTTCGAGGCTTTCACCGCTGTCAGTGAGATGCGACGTGGACGGGCGGAATATCCTTCTTTCCGCATTCCAATGGTCGTGCTTCCCGCTACTGTGAGTAACAACGTACCTGGGACGGAGTACTCACTCGGCTCGGACACTTGTCTGAATACGTTGATCACCTTTTGCGATGCCATTCGTCAGTCAGCATCCAGCAGTCGCCGGCGAGTGTTCGTCATAGAGACACAAGGGGGCCGCAGCGGGTACGTGGCGACAATGGCCGGACTGAGTATTGGCGCCTTGGCTGTGTATATTCCCGAAGAGAGAGTCGACATTCACACCATTGCAAGAGACATTGGCTTTTTGAGACACAACTTTGCCAATGACAAAGGTGCAAGTCGCGCGGGCAAGATCATACTCCGGAACGAGAAAGCCAGTGCAACCTACACCACACAAGTGATTGCAGATATGATAGCCGAGGAGGCACAGGGCAGGTTCGAGGCTAAGGCGGCTGTTCCAGGCCATTACCAACAAGGAGGCAAGCCATCGCCTATGGATCGAATTCGGGCATTGAGGATGAGCATCAAGTGTATGCAGTACATTGAAGGCTTTACAGGCAAGTCCCCAGAAGAGCTCATGCAAGATGACATGAGCGCCGCAGTCATTGGTATTCAGGGTTCTGAAGTCGTCTTCTCAGCTATGGGTGGTGAGCGGGGCCTGGAATTGGTGGCCACGGATTGGAAGGATCGACGACCTAAGGATGAATTCTGGTTAGGGATGAAGGACACGGTTGACATTCTGAGCGGGAGACCCAAGGCTGGCACGCCTTGTAGAGAGTGTGGAAGACCGCTTTGACGTGCTGGATGGCTTTGGCAACACAGTAAGGCTGCTTAGAATGCGGTTTCGTTGCTTAGACAGCCTGGAGGAACCTGCTGAACCTATCTTTACAGAACCATCTAACCCAGGTGTTGACAAGGATAAATTCGTACATACCACAAATCATCTCCCATTCTGTCTACGAGAAGCGCCACTCCAAGTAATGGATTGATTCTCCTTATTTTTCACGAATATCTCAATTAGGTACAGTTATCACTCAAGTAACCCAAGTCTGGTTGAACTCGGCGTGAAGGATCAGGTGATGTGCGCATCCGTCTGTGTATCGGATGCTGGCTGCGTCCTCTCGGTCACACCGCGTTGAAGACGTAGCCTATGCGTCCTAGCTAGACTTGAATCTTCCTCCTCCTCTACCTTCAATTCCAACCGCTACTGCTACCATATATCAGATATCCACCAGGCTGTTACGTTGGGCGCCGAGACATGACAACAAGATACCGCGTCGAATGTATGCCTTCAAAGACGAGGATTCAAGAAAGGACTAATCCCATCTAGATGCTCTCAAAGTGTGCTTGTTCCCTCCACCCTGTCTGGCAAGAAAGGGCTGATTTGATATTGTCGGGCACGGTAGACTCACCGCCGGGATCAGTTCGTATGTCATGGACGCGGGAACTCTGCAGAGAAGATGCTGACACCGGTCTAGATAGAATGGATCAAGGTCCGTCGGTGTCTTCCCCCTTCAGCGGGTTCACCATAAAGAGAACCTGGCTGTTCAGATTCCTTGGCTCTCGTGTTATGCTTTTATGTGTTCTCGTCTTCGACCATTCATTGTTCATGCTCTGACGCTTTTTCCTGGCCTTCAGGGGTTACTGGCGGTCCCGTTCGTTCTCAACTCGCAGCCGACGGCGGCATATGAAGAGTACGATGAGGTCAAGTCGCTTCAGACGATGGCTCAGGCCGTGCACCGTCGCTATGCTGAGATCATGCGAGATGTCGAGGGTTTGGTCAATGACCACAGTAGGTCTCATGTCTCTTTCCTGACGTACTTCTTGAAAGGGGCGCTGTCTCAGACAGGGGCCATACGCTTCTACTCATACTGTCATATCGAATCTGCTAAGGTCGATCTCTTTCTAGTACGGCATCAGTCTCTGCAAACAACATCCAAGCTCAAGATGCTGGTGCCATCGATCGGATCCTTCTTCACGCCACTCCACCTCGAAGCCGCATTCATCTACCAGGACAAACAGCGCGCCATCTCATCCCGCCGCTTCGTCGCTCCCTCTTTCAACGACGTCCGGCTCATCCTCAACACCGCCCAGATCATGGCCCTCATGCGACCATCACTCCCATCCAGCCCCAGCAACCTCACAGCCAACCCAAGCGCTCACACGTCCAACCCGCCAGCCGCAACCACAAGCCTCCAGCTCCTCACCTTCGACGGCGACGTAACCCTCTACGACGACGGCGCCTCCCTCCTCCCCACCAACCCGGTCATTCCGCGGCTGATCCACTTCCTCTCGCGCAACGTGCGCATCGGCATCGTCACCGCCGCCGGCTACACCGACGCGTCGCGATACCACGCGCGCCTGCACGGGCTCCTCGACGCGATCAAGGCGTCCCCGCTCCTCACCACGCGGCAAAAACACAACCTCATCGTCATGGGCGGCGAATCCAACTTCCTCTTCGTCTTCGACGAAACCTCCCCCTCGCTCCTGCGCTACATCCACCGCCGCGACTGGATCCTGCCGGCGATGCACGCGTGGAACGAAGCGGCCATCCAGTCGCTGCTCAGCATCGCCGAGGCCGCCTTCCGCTCGTGCATCCGCACCCTGCACCTGCCTGCCGGCCTCGATCCTGCGCAAAGAACGCGCCGTCGGCATCTACCCCAGCACCGCCGACCACCGCTTCGCGCGCGAACAGCTCGAGGAGACGGTGCTGGTGGTCCAGCAGGTGCTCGAGTTGTCGCCCGAGGTGCGGGGTGCCGGCATCCCCTTCTGCGCCTTCAACGGCGGCAATGATGTCTTTGTCGACATCGGCGATAAGAGTCTGGGCGTGAGGGCCTGTCAGAAGTGGTTTGGTGGTGGTGGTGCTGCTGCTGCTGCTGCTGCTGCTGCTGCTGCATCCAGTGGTGAGGAGGCCGGTCCCGTGAGGGAGGAGGCCACCCTGCATGTAGGCGATCAGTTCTTGAGCGGCGGGGGCAATGATTTCAAGGCCCGGTTGGCGTGTACCACGGCTTGGATTGCCAGTCCGCAGGAGACGGTGGCGTTGTTGGATGAAATGAGCGAGTGGGAGGGGGTGGGAGTTGGAGTTGGAGTTTCATCTTGACTTTATTGGCGCTTGGCTGATGGCGAGTATGGGAAGTAAGGGGAAGGGCGATGTTTGGGATTGTTACGTTGGGGGGTTTGCTTGTTTGCGGAACGTCGAGTCAACATCAGTACTACCAGTGTAAACAAAAATCCAATGATCTTGCCGGGTATGATATGAGACGACGCTGCCCTATATATATATGCACTATCCTCCAGAGCTTCATGTCCGGTTCAGAGACGAAATCTCTTGTTGCGCAATCGGTAATGCGACCCGGACTGACGCCCTGCATCGCTTTTCTTTGCAACCAAGGCCCGTGTGATGTTTTCGGATGAACATAAAATACCCCCTTGCGCGGCGGCTCAGGCGGTAGAAGAATGGCTGCATACCCGAACAGGCGGGCCGGAAGTCAGGTGGGAACGGTACGTTGCAAGGAAATGAATGGCATCCGTACGATGTTCAGAATACCCGAGCTCCTGGCAGTGGCAGATACAGGTACCGATACAGTTGAGAATGTTGGGTGGAAGTCGTCCATAGTGCAGAATCGTCGTGTGTTGATTGTCCGGTTTCTTGTGGTCCGATATCAAAATCTGGCAGTGATATTGTTCATGTTCATGTTCATGTTCACACGATGCTGCGGACCCCTTTCACGAAGCAGAGAGCTGGGCGCGGGTCTGGGAACTCATTGCCCAGAATGTAAACGCTAGTGGTGCGCTGCTGCTGCTGCTGCCATGTATTGGCCACCTCGTAGCCATTCGATGCTAAGCGGGTCGGACGGAAGGGAGAGGGCGAAGGAAAGGATCGAACGAGGAGCCTCTGTGCCAAACAATTGGAAGTTCTCCGGCCACGAGGCCCGGTATAATTGACTACCATGGTAGTAAAGATGGTAAAGTTGAGGATCGTCAAATGAACCCCTTCCAAGTGCAACATATTTATCCTGGTTCCTAGAAAAAGTAAACCTCGCTCCTTAGATCCAGCAGAATGCATGACGAATAGCCACATCACCAACAAGATACAGTAGCCGAGTGGCAAACACTAGTCACTAAATGCTGGAACCGATGATGGAGATAGAAAGGGTTAATAGCAATGGGAATTCATTCATGTTCGAACCCGGTAGTAAATGTGTCATGTGCTAGAAGGGGAGTCGGCGTCGTCTTGTCCATCCTCTCAATACACTCTGACTTGACCAAGATCTCTGGCCCAATACCACCACCCACGGAAGACGCCAAGGTCGAGCCAGCCTGGACAAGACCAAGTGCGACGACTCCCGAGTGGATGGCGACTTTCCGCTTGGGCTCTTCTTCCGGTTCCACATCGGCTAACAGGGCGGTAAGTGGAGGGTCGATGTCTTCGGAATCACTGTCGTGAAAAAGGGAATATGTCTTCTGTAGTACTCGCCGGCATTTTTCAGCTGCAGTCCCAGGTGACAAAATGAGATCATCCGGTGCGTTGCCTTTTAGAGCGTCTCCAACTTGGCTGGCAGCAGCATCAATGCTTGCTGCCTGCACAGAGACTAGTTTTGGGTGGCTACCCTCCAAGCGGCCGAGACTTCCCCTCTTCCAGAAGGGCACGTCGTGAAACTTCTCGAAATTTAGTTCAAATGATCTTTTCCTCGTACTTTCATCATCTTCATATGACTCTTCTTGTATACCATGGATGATCCTTCTCCGACCTCCTCTCTGATTCGACTCCGAACCTATGCCACGGGACTGGGGATGCCTGAGGCGAACATGTACGGGATCGAAGGCATTACGGCCGTCGAGCAATAAAGCCATACAACTGGAGATGAGGAGACAGATACTTATCATTAAACCGAGGAAAATGAAAAATGGATGAGTGATGCTAGGATGGATCGCGTTGGAGGGCGGAGCAACCGTGGATGGTTGGGAAAGACGCTTCGTGACACCCTCCAATTCTGGTGTGTCCTCATCTCGAGTATCATACGGGGATCCAATGGGAGAGTCTAAGATCTATTTACATATTGAATGACCCTTCTCCTGCGACATATGTCATTAAAGATAGTAGTACCGCGCATGTGTCCTTACCTCTTCACCAATACACGCTTCACGAAGTTGAGCTTCAGTGCTTATTCGCGTAAGTTGCCAGGCTTGGTATCCAAAGAATAAAGTAAGAACAGCAGCTATTAGCGTAACGGTGGCTGAAAATATCTCATAACTTGGCACATAACGTAGTACAGTATGTAAGGATTTTCGTAACGATGTAGGATATGTTCTTTGTCTGTTGGGAGGCTGAGAAGCGTTTGTGGGCGCATCTTGCTCCGCAATGACTGCAGATAGGTCGTGTTGTTGACTATCCTCTTCTGAGACAGACGGCAATATGTGATTGTCAGAGCTTTCGCCTAGATCTCGATGGCTAGGGAGAGAGGATAATTCTATGTCTTCACAATGTCCCAGACTCGATGATTGCGCTTCGGTGCTGGGAGAAGCTCGCTGGATGCTAAAGGATCTAGCAGGTGTGCTTCTGGAGCCTTGAGTACAGTTCTGAGACAGTGAGCCGTCTGATGCAACAACCTCTCCATTCGGCACACCGTGCTCATTCAATTCTAGAGAAGGAATGGTAGGGTGAGAGGCAGCAAAACAGTTGGATGAATGCCGGGCTGAATGCTCCACGACTGACGCCATGGCGCATGCTCCTTTTGAATGCTTCACGAAGGCACAATAAGAACATAAATCTGCTCAGTGGAAAAGGGACCAAAAAGACGAATAAGTTGTCCAAAGTAGACAAGAAAAATGCGATAAATGATAATCTTGCCTTGAACGTGATTCATCACCCCAGTTGTCCACCTTGTGGTTTGCCTTCAGAGTTGGTTTTCTTGGATCTGCAGCATGTGCATGAGGAGGGTCCAATTGCACCCATGGAGTGGCCGTCAGCTCTCAGATGCCTACAGCATGCAATATTTTGCCTGGAAACAAGAGTGTGGCTCTGCGTCCTAGTAAGGATGGTTCACAGCCTCGCAGTATGTGACAAATGATTTCTTCTCTTGCTCGTTCAATATCTATCTCCGTCAATGGTGAGCACTTTCAGCTGTTCGACCACAGTCTATGGTACTGGATCATCATTTTCATCAGCCGCGCTTCCATTTCTACCAAGGAGTGGGACATGTAAATCGAACAGTGGTCCCTGTGCTGGTGGGTACATGATGGGATCGCTTGGGTGGAGGGGTACCTAGACCATTATCCCTTACCAGCTTTGACAATCTCACGTCTATAGCGTGTTCCGTCAACTGACTAAGTAGACCGAGAATTTTCGTATGTTGCGTTTTCCCTTATAGTAGAAAGTTCTGCTGGCCCATCCTGAAGACCGGGCGCGCGGTAGGACAGGTAAGAATGCCTATTCGTAGCGTTCAAGGAGCGCGAATCAAGCTCCACAGATTCTGCCGGGAAGTCACTAGTCGAGTACATTGCTGTACTTGGTCGTGCCAAAGATTCGTCATACTGAGAATCCTCCTGAAAAGACATTTCTTTCTCCTCTTCTGTTCTCCTTTCTTCAATGTCTTTTCGGCGTTTTCGCAGCGCAAGAATAACTGCCACAGATATGATAGCAGCTACAGCAAGTCCCACTCCAATCCCAATGCCGGCCTTGGCAGCAATAGATATTGATTGGCTGGTAGGTACATTGGTGGATGCATCCGGCATGGATATGTTGACTCCTGTTTGAGGTGTTGTAGCATTGGTATTGATGCTGATAGCTTCGCCGTTCGCAATGAAGAGCCCCCGTCCCTGTTGACAACACTCCCTTCCATCATATCCAGAACCAAAACACCAGCTACCATTATCACACGGGGAGACCTGAACATCTCTGGAAGAGTCTGTAGCGATAGGTGTCAGTCGGTTTCGCACACGAATGTATAATGCGGGGATGGGACAACTGACTTCTACCGTCCACGAAGAGCTTGATACACTCCGGTGACTTCCAGGTCTGGTCTGTGCAACTCTCGCGCCAGATAATTTCATCATCTTCACTTTTGCAAAGGCCGCCTGGAAGACAGCTATCAGGATCCTTCGCTCGGCCAATTGCGCAGCACATTGAGACTTCGGCAGTAGCATCACAGGGTAGATAGTCACCCGGAGCGGTGCCACGAAGGGAATTCCTATCGGTGCCGTTTGGCAAGAAGCAAGCCGCCCGAGAGAATTGGACAGATAGAGTGGAAATTAGAAAAAAAGAGGTAAGGCCATTTTGCAGTCGGAAGTCCATCTGAGCGGTCAACTATGTGTCGTCGTTGTATTAAAGATTCAAAGCGTAGGGCAGGTCAGTGAAAAGCAAAAGAAGCCAAAGATAAACCTAGATTTCTCAGTCAAGAAGCTTAGACGCCATAGATAACCTGGGCCAGCGTGGATACCAGATCCACGAATATGTGATTTTCAGAGTTGTGGTCAGTAAAACATGCTGAGAAAGAAAGAAGGATGAAATCAAGAGAACCAGACTAATTCGGACAAGACAGTGTCACCAGGAAAGGTACTTACTTCTTTCCATTTATTGAGAGGACATGGAGAAAGACGCAATCTGAGACACAAGAGGACACAATCATGCCTTGGTCTTGTTGAGGAGTCTGCAAGCCCTCCAAGGGGCCATGCTCTGAAACAAGATCACCAAACTCGTGCCGTTATGACAATACACGAAAAGACCGACTGATTGGTAACCTTTCCCCGTCCAGCCCTTGGAGGACAATCGATGCTTGCAGAAGGGCGTTTCGGGTATGTTGCGACTCATCTTGGCTACCTATCACCTATTTCTGCCATCCGCCCATCTGGGACAGCATCGTACTCCTCCGCATCGGCATGTTGATCTTGACTTGGTGGTTTCGAGCGTACAGCATGATGGAGACATCATCGGATTCATCGCAATTATCAGTTGCCACCGAATGGCAGAAAAGTTACATGTTCTGTGATGCACAAGAATTCGACATAGAATAGCTTTTGAATCTGGCCAGACTTGGATAATAGAATCATGCACTTTAGACAGAAATCATCCGAAAATTTTCGGACTGTGGTGCGGGTAATGTTCGGTGGTTACAGGATTTTATTACTACTACTTACCGGGAGAAGGGCTCTGAAAATGACGCGGTATCGATCCTCAGTGATTTTGCAGACGTTTTATTATTATAATGATCGTCAAGAGGCTTGAATGATATACGAAATAATATAATTTTATTGGATTCCAGATGTTAGCTGCATAATTTTATGTAAATTAGATCATATCGCGGTTAGGCTGAAACTAAGCCCACATTCATGGTAATTTAGGCATAGTTTCCAGAGGGCCTACTCCACTTCAAGTTCAAACGAGGATCATTATTCATCTGCATTCTGGTTTTGCAAGATCCATCATTACTACTACTGTGTTGCATATTACTGTTGACGCTGTCTTTCCACATTTTTGTATTCGACCACACAGAAAGCCGCCTTTCAAGTTATGTTGTCCTTACTGATTGAAAATTATACATTATGCTAAACAGAGTGCCAGATATGGAAGTCCCTGGCCTAGGAACCTATCGAGAACTGAGTCGTACATGGATGTACGTCGAGCATGCTCATGAGATTATTCTACTACACACATGCCAGAACATGCGCTCTTGCAGCGGTAGTCACGATTAGACCAGAGACATTAATGGTCAACGAGGTTGCCAGCTTTTAAGTCCCTTACTATGAAATTGTGAGAAGACCAAGCATTGATGAATCAGAGTGGCGGAAGAGACGCCCGAATCGACAATTAAAGCTAAGCCAACCCCAACCGAGCCCCTGCGCTTACAACAAAACCACTTCTACTGGTAGCAACGCCTTTCTTACCTTCGGCCTTCTTTCATTTTTTGACATCTTTGACATCTTTTACCTGTGGTTATCGCCAGTGATCCATTTTATCTGCTGCTCTTAACAATTTACTATATTTCTATACAAGATTGATACGACAGAATATAGCCATTACAATTGCTATAGCTGTAGCTCTTTCTAAGATAATCAAATCCAGAGGTCTGGAATCTAAGACAACCACTTCCATGGTATGGTGCCAACTTCGTAGAAGAATGCTGCCTGGAATGCGACCCGTGCAGCAGATAGTTGTTCACCGAATTTGAAGGGCTATCAGCTTCCGCTCAATGCAAGAGTAGCATTATTCACGAACATTGCGAGTGGAAAGCTCGTGCGTGACCATAATATCAGATTGTGCAACAGGGAAGTCCATTTTGACAGAACCAAGTGAGTTGTCCTTCCTGGTTCGACCATCCTTTGCGGATGACGATGGGGAGGTGCGCGTCATTCCCTTTTGACAAGCCCCGTTTTGGTTCAACTGTTTCCAGGAACGGGCGTTCTCTGACTGCACGAAAAGTACTCGGAAGGCAGTCATAGAAAGGACAATAACGGCCACGGCGGCCTCGGTGTGAAGCCAGAACAATACCCAGGGAGAATCCACTTGACCATCGGCAATGGTGCTAGTGCCCACTTTAACGATGACAATGACAATCATGAAAATACTTAGACATATTGTGGTTCCAAGTACCAGTTTCCGTCGAAGACTAAGGTAGACACGCCAAAGTAGAAAGACCGGAATAGAGATTACTATGATGGAGTTAGTAGGCTACCATGGAGTGACTGCCTCGGAATCCTTACAAAACACATCCGTGACGATGTCCAAGGTAGCGTTTGCCTTCAGTGCTGCATTTTGCCTATTCACAGCGTTTGGGGTGACACAGGCTTCGTGATTCAGAAGGATGGATCAGCTTTACAAATAATAAAGGCTTCGTGTCGTCCCCAATTGTGGTCATTAGACTTCCGTCAGCGAGGTGGCTGTCAAATGTTAGGCCCTTTATTTATCTCTTGAGCCTCATCCCCCTTTGTCTTCGTACTCGCACCTCTTCAGCCTCTCGAGGCTGATTGAAAAGACAGAAATCATAGTACATTTTCTGCCAAGACAACACACGATTTCATGCACCTCCATATACCAATCATGCTCAGCCGCAGTCTGGGTAAACAGCGTCCCAAGATCGAAGATACATTAAAAACCCGCACAACCGAAACAAATCCAATCGCAGGAAATTGAACAGTGATAAAATTCAGGGGTCTGCGCTTACAGCGACGTCTATACTTTGAGGCCCCAGTGCCAAGACATTGTCACCTACTTTGGCCCATTGAATGTCATCCTGTTGTGTGGGGTTCTACTGGGTTTGGACAACTTTGACAAGTTCTGGTGTTCCTTTCATTACTTCTGTTTCTTGTTTCGGAACAGTTTTCATTTAAACCTTCTGGAATCTTGACCCGTCTTTGATGTCAGACAATGACTGTGCTTGTGGTTCTCAGCAGCTCCGTTCTTGCGTGGGTCATCTGGACGCTCATTTCTTTACTTTCAAATTACCTGACTGCACGTCGGATCGGACTGCCGATCATAATCAGTCCAGTCAGCAGCCTCAACCCCTACTGGATTCTGACCTACAGAGCCCTTCCAATACTTCCGCTCCTCCAGTCTTTACCCTTCAATTTGGGAAAATGGAGTCGATGCACCTACATGGGATGGAGTTTCGACGACAAGTACCTACTACACAAGGAGCTTGGCAGTGCTTTCACCTTGGTCACTCCAAGCGTGAATGAAGTCTGGATTGCGGACTCGGACGCAGCTTATGTGGTGCTTTCGAGGAGGAAAGATTACATCAAGCCAGCAAAGATGTATCGTATGTAGTGTGTCTCCGAAGCTTGCACGAACCTAACGGTCTTTCACAGAGCCATTAGCTATCTTTGGCCCCAATGTAAATACCGTAAGTTTCCAATTGATAGTCTCCTCGAAGACAATGGCTGAGGAGTGAGATTCTAGGTTGAAGGTGATGATTGGCAGCGACACCGCAAGCTTACTGCTCCTAGTTTCAATGAAAAGACCAGTACTTCTGTTTGGGATGAGGCTTTGCGTCAGGCTGGAGACATGCTGCATTCATGGATGGAAAGAAGTACTAATGGCACCAGAGATACCGTCGCGCATACGGCGACATTAGCTCTACATGTTCTGACAGGCGCCGGGTTTGGCATCTCATATTCATATGGAAAAGGAGTGCAAACCCCTCCTGAGGGGCATGATATATCATACCGAGATGCCTTGCTCACCGTTTTGCAAAGTGTCGTTTTACTTTCGACCGTTCCTCGGAGCTGGATGACGTTCCGATTTTCTCCAGCGAAGCTCCGTAAAGTTGACCAAGCCACGAAAGAATTTCAACTTTACATGGCTGAAATGCTCATCAATGAGCGAAGCCAGATCCACAAGCGATCGTCCCAGTCGAGAAACTTATTGACTGCCTTAGTGCGAGCTTCAGAAGAAGCCAAGGAGTCCAGTCATGAGATATCCCATCAAGGCCTCACCGATGACGAAATCTTCGGAAACATCTTCATCTACAATCTAGCCGGTTACGAAACGACAGCGAACACCATAGCTACTGGCATTTTCTTATTGGCTGCCTACCCTGAATGGCAGGAATGGGTGGCAGAAGAAATCAATCTTGTGTTTGATGAGGAAGAAGATTCACCGGGTGGGAGGTACGAAGAAGCCTTCCCTAAACTCAGAAGGTGCCTTGCGGTGATGGTATGTTTCTGTTTACCTCTATGCCTAATCCTCGAGTGATCGATTGGAGCTCACAGTATTCTAGTTTGAGATACTCCGTCTTCATGGCTCCAATGTATATATCCCCAGAACCACTGGATCTGTTGATTCAGCCCTGCATATAAACGGGAAAAACTACATCATTCCATCCGGCACGTTCACCATGACCAACCTGCAAGCTCTCCATACGGATCCTCGCTCTTGGGGTTTGGACTCCCTCGTATGGCGCCCGAGCCGTTGGTTGGTTTCCACGCCAGACACTGTGGCATCTGGTTACACCAAAGAACTCATCGAGCCTATCAAAGGCACGTTTCTTCCCTGGGCTGATGGCCCACGTGTATGCCCAGGACGGAAAGTTGCGCAGGTAGAGTTTGTCGCCGTTATGGTGGCGCTCTTCCGAAAGCACAGAGTACAGCCTGTGTTGATGGAGGGTGAGAGCGCGGATGCAGGCAAGGAGAGATTGCGGGATATAGTGAATGACTCTGGTTTATCGGCTGTTACGATGCAGATGCGATGTCCAAGAGCTGCAGCTCTTATGTGGAGGAGAGTGGAGTGACTACTACTGTAGTACACTTCCCATGAATTGGCAGGGACCGTATGAATGCAGCTCTTTGACGTTGACGACTGCTTTGGAATATGAATGACTGATGAGGATAAAGAGGAGCGGGTTCTAATACGAGCAGGGAAGGATAAAGCTAGGTAACAATTAGGATGGGGGCTGGGAAAGGAAGCAAGGAGGTGATGTGTATATTAGGTGGGTCATACGGAAGAGCCTCGCGGTGAGCAGAAGGTGCCGTTGTGTAAAAGCACCAGTAGGATGCTCGAGGGCTATGCCTTGCCTAGCACGGGTTATCCTTCTTTTCACCTACCTTCAGGGTATGTGTTGCGGAAGGGAGCAGTGATTTGAAACCTCCCACGGAGGTAACGGCCCGTCATAGGAAACAGAGGCCTATCCCTAGGTTCGCAGAAGGGACAGTGTCCGCCAAGCTCTTTGTCTGCCACCCAAAACTATGAATTGTCCATCCCCCAAGGATTTGAACAACAAACGCGGGTAATTATTTCATCAACACAAGCAAACGACATCTCGATATCGAAACACATTGTGGCTATGGAAGCTGTGGGCAAGATAAGATGGCCCTCAAATAGCAATGGGCTACAAGTTGATATCTCTTGCGTTATCTTGGAGCCTGCTGCTTGAACAAAGGCGTGATGTCCAATTGCCCGCCTGGCGGCCACTATTACATTCTTGTGAGGCATTCGTATCTTTGTTCCCAACAATCGCTTTCAGGTGGACAGGAAGGTGCCTTCCCGTGGGAACAATGGATCTGAATGCGATAAATATCTGCCAGAACGAACCTGGGTTTTTCATCTCACCATTTCCATCAACAACATCTTCGTCATGTGCTCTTTCACAGTTAACGAGAGAGTCTGCAACAAGTGCCTCGGGCTGATGTCGTCAGAAACCCAGCTTGATGGCCACTGTCAAGAAGTTCTCGCGGGTAAACCGTGCCGAGGGAGGAGCGAGTTCAAAAACTGGTTTGCTCGCGGGGCCTGCCGTACGTGCTCCCAAGCCTGTGCTGTTAATAAAGTCATACGTCAGGATCCTGCCTAGAAGGCTTCTGACACATGCGACGCAGCGAAAAGCAAAGTGGTTCTCTGCGGATAGCAGAAGTTAAGGCGCACTTTTGCTGGTAAAGGTGGCAAGCTGTGATGGAGAAGTCAGGTGAGTGCGTTCCCAGCACTTGTAATCAAAGATTGCGTAAGGCCCTAAGTTGTGAGACATTAATATACCAATCTTGACCAAGTCCTAAGCATTTTCTTGCCGGCTCAACTTCGGCCCAGCCTCTGCTCTGCTCACCCTCGTGCTCAGACTCCATCCAAGTTGCTGCTCGGGGTTGCTCACCCTCACCTCACTCGTGCTCGGGCCCGGTTACGCAATGCTCTGCCAAGGCCCTGTTTGGGATCCTTTCACGGCATCCACGTTCGCAATACGTTGGACGGTCAGGTTCGAGGCCGTTACCCTGAAGACGACACTCTCTTGTCGAGCGGAACAACAGCTGCTTGGCCAGAACTGCGGGTCCCTCACAGGTCCAATTCGTCACCGCTTCAGTAAGGGTTGACACGTAGTGTCAAGGCTCTGGAGTGGCTCGTTATACCATGGTAGGAAGTAAGGTTCCGCTCCTTCAGACTCTAGACATTCTCCCGATCATTCTTGAGTATCTCCACCCGTGTGCAAGACACCTTGGGGGTCCGAGTTCGACCGATCACAGTGATGTGAAAGCAAATTTCGGATGTTGAGAAATGAAAAAGAATAGATCGTTTTCCTGAGTTTGCACTGTAGAGAAACATTTGCTACCGTACCCGGCCTGCTTTGCGTGATCAATAGTGACCAAGGATGTGTAGACGAAGAGCTTCGAGTAATCCATGCAGCCAAAAGGATAGACTGGACGCTGATCTCGCCCCTTAACGCTGAGACGATCTGTCTCCTTTCTGAGTTGTCCGATCATTTCCCAAGGCTCGTAAGTAACCAGAGGGGACATTCCATTCGGCAAACAGGGACAAGAAAAGATGTCGCTCATGTCAAGCGAGGTCGAGGATGCTTGATACTAGTAGCCTTGAGGAGAAATGGAGCTGATGAAATATCACCCACTCAACTAGAAAATGGGATAGAGCTCCGTGACAAGGGCGATAGCTGAGGCGTTGAGAAAGACCTTGGGAGGTGTCAATACCTGCTTGTTTCCTCAGCCTGTCGCTTAGGCCTCAAGAGAGTCCGCTGATAGAGTCACCAAACGCCCAATCAAGCCAGGGTATCCATCAAATCAAACAAAGCAAATCGAGGCCATGGTTTTGCTTTGATTATTTAATCAAAACCCGTGATTTGTTTTGTTTGACTGGGTTGTCAAATCGAGTCAAATCTCAGCAAGCAAAATATTTCTAGGGATTTACTTGAAATTCTCGTCCAGATCGACCGTCCGCCAAGACCATTATTATTCTATGGAAATGTCCTTGAATATTTCAAAATAAGAGAGACCTTTTCTGTCAAGACCTCAGTTTGACAGTTTGTCAAATGAAAGCACTGATTTGACTTGATTTGCCAGACATTTGACTTGGTCGCCAGGAAACAGGACTTCTACACGTCATATCGCCATAGTGCGGCCCCTCAGAGATGGTGATGCATTCGTCGAAGGGAAACATCACATAGGTTGGAATCGAATCGATATGAAGGTAACTCGTTCTAGGCCTTCGAGATATTCTTTATCCATCCCCACCTCCCTACGCGGTCTCACTGCTAAGCTCAGGGGTGATTCGATATCTCGGGAAACCCATGTGCGAAAAGAAGACATTCCATCATGCGGTACAATTCAGATTTGCACAGTAACCTTCGAATGTTGGCTTTGAGATTTACAACTGTTCGTGTCCTTTTTGTGGCTGCGTGAATATAATCCAACACCCTTTATGAAGCGCCGGCACCCATAACTGAACGAGATGCAAAACTCCTTTCCTATCTTTCGTGTGTACCTAGTGGTCGCTGTGGCATAAAAGATAGGAGGTAGGAGATCTATTCACACCGGAAAATGATCTGTTCTGCTGCTTGTAAGTCCAGGCCTGGCGAGTCCTGCTTCTCCTGTATGTTTGTACGGTGCAAGCAGGACACCTCCTCTTTCGTCTCCTTCATCTCCCAAACGCAAGTCCTGATGCTGGTCCCTCAATTGCAATGTCATTTGTCTCTATAGCTCACTCCCTCCTTCCTCCCCCATTACAGTCAGCACTCGTCACAACTATGACCGCAGAAGCGCTTTTCGCATTTGCACGAGGGACCTAGCTTTGGTTGTTGTGACGGCGACTCTCTCAGACAGCAGTAGGCTTATAGCTTGCTTGCCAACCAATCTGGATTTCGTTTCTCCACAAAGGCCCTCACGCCTTCTTTCATATTTTCGCCCTCGGATAGTCTTTTCCACCAAATTTCCATCAGCAATCTAGAACCTTCTTCTGCCCCCACACCTTCCCAGCCCATCTTGATGCCTTCTCGACTCACAATCACCGCGTCTGGGCTATTACTAGCAATCATGTTGGCATACTCTAGCGCCTTCACAGTGACCGGCCTGTCCATGATCTCGGAGTCTGCTGATGCATCTTCGACCATCGCGTTGACCAAACCCCACGACTGCGCTTCAGTTGCACTCACCGTTCGCCCCGTCAGCGCCATTTCCATGGCTCTCTGGCGGCCAATTGTCCGTACTATCCGAGGTAATGCACCTGCAATGGCAACAACACCGCGTTTGACTTCTGGCAGTGCGAAAGCTGCTGATTTCGAAGCGATCACCAGATCTACATTCGTGCACATCTCCATTCCACCTCCATACGCCAGTCCATTGACAGCAGCGATGACTGGCTTCTTCCCAGCTCTTCTGGAGAGAGCGCCGAAACCCGAAGGTGGCATGTCTCTCCTGCCGCCATCGCCACTGCTGTTCTGTACATTCCATTCTTTCAGATCCGCGCCAGCGCAGAAGGCGCGGCCCGTTCCTGTCACGACGGCGGCTCGAAGAGAAGGCTCATTGTCGTACCATTCGAAGAGGGCATGCAATTCCCAGTGGGAAGGTATATCTATGCAATTGAGAGACTTGGGCCGGTTGAAGATGACAAGGAGGACCGGTGGAGTGGGGAAGCAGATCTGAGCATAAGAACCCGAGGGCGGAGGTGTACGGAATGACAGTGTGGCAGAACTCGACGCCATTTTGGCACACCTGCCTTTTCCAAGTTCCGTATCAAATGGGGCAGTCTAAGATCTCAGCAGCCTCCCCAAAATCGAGTAGCTGCTTTGCGGATACAACGCAAGCAAGACGCCGCCATCAACCCTGTGCACCAGGTTGCGGAGAGCCGAGGTTGAGCAGGAGTTAGACTCTGCCAATTTAGGCCGAGTAACTTACGGCCGAAGTGCTGCCGAAGTTCTTCCGACATTGTCGCGTTCCCATGATCATCCAACAGCCAATGAGAAGTAATTGATGTGGCCGAAGTTCCCCCAAAGCGAGCCATCAGTCGCTGACAAGTCCACCTGGCTTCTCTGCCTCCCGTACCTGACTGGTAGACGTGCAATTCGATCAGCCTTCTGATGGGTTTCTACAAGTAAAGCCTGGATCATCCGGAACCATACCTTCTGCCAATGTCCTCCCAGCTTAACGAAGCTATATACTCTTTACTTTCTGTCCCTTACTCTTTCTTCTTTTGTCCTCAATCGCAGTCTCTGTCCCATCAAACCCTCTCTTCCTTATTCCATTGAGCCCTCATCAACACGAAACATGGACTCCGTGCCAATCATAAGTACCAAGACAGCCCCACCAAGCTCGGACATTGAAGACCTGCCTTCCCGACTGGATATGAATGAGAAAAGACCGCCTTAGTATCTGGTCAGCAGATATAGTAACATAAAAAAAGTCTCACTGATCTCCGCAGCGGTGTTTAAACGCTGCTGAGGAACTGCGTCTTCTGCCATACTGCGCCAATTCCAAGATTGCACATAACCCTCGATCCGGTCGTCAGATGGTTCCGAATGCTACCGTGTAAGGGGGAACCCACTTCTTCAATAGGTACCCCGGCGTGTCGTGAAAATGCTTATGCTTATGCTTATGGTGCATGTCAATATGTCAAATGCTGAGAAATCTCTCTCCAGCTGCTTGCTTTTCCTTGTGGCACGGACTCTAGCTGCAGCATGGCCATGGATACCGATCTGATCCGAAAGGGCGGGTGTCCTACAAGGCAGATGAGACCGTTGCCAAAAGCCGCTTCTCTGTTCTGCTTGGTCCTACGGTGCAATATGCAACGGTTGCCGCTGGGTGGAATGGTTTGCGGGTAGGGTAGGATAGGAATCGGAGTAAGGAGTACTTGGTCTGCTGGTGTGAATTTTGCACGGGTTGTTGATGAGGTTGATGATGCCAGGAAACAAAGACCGAGGCGGGTTCCGAGGTCGTCACGCCGTCAGATTGTTACTTATTTCTCTCAAAAGAGGCTTCTGAGGAGATGGGGAGGGGGGGGCCCGCCCGAGGAACATGTAGAGACATTGGTCTCGTTAGATAAATCGAGTGGGAGGATCGGGTATCACTATACTATACTATATACTATATATATTATATTTGGAGAAAAGATACCAGGGATACTGGGCAGGTTGAGGTCCTGATCCTCCTCGCTAGTTGCTGGCTTACACTTACACTTTTTCTTTTTCTTTTTCTTTTTCTTTTTTCTTTTTTCTTTTTGGTGGAAATACTACTATAGTAGTGGATCACCTTCCCTCCCCCCCTTCCTCCTAATACTGCTGGACACGCAGATGGGATGGGAGAGCATTACATACACACTAGCGAAATGGGGAGAAGAAAAGGAAGAAAGAAAGAAAGAAAGGCTGAGGTTGAAGCTTGGCTGATATATATCGATCGATCGCGAACTTATTTTGGGTTCGTGACGACGACGAGACGACGAGACTGCCTGTCATGCACTCCTCCTCGTGTTTGAGTGGTGGTAATAATAGTAGTAGTAGTAGTAGTAGCAGCAGCAGGAAAATCCTCGATTCATCACCCTATCGACACCATACCCACCCCCACCCGCTCCTCCACCCCAAACCTACAGTAAGCAGATCCACTCAACCCAGCCTCAACGCGAACCCGGCCCCCCTCTCCTCCGCATCTTCGCTCGCGGCCAAAATCCCACCAGCAGCACCAAATCCC